TGGAACTGAAAATCAAGATTTTTTGCATTATTTCATGATCCATATGATATTTTTTTATTACTCTTCTTGTAATTTATATAAAACACATCCTATTTATTTTTTATTTTTAATTCAAGATAAGTAGTTTAATTAAATTCTCACATTTCTTATTTAATTTTGCATACCTGTTGCATTATTTTATTTTTTGGCAATCAATTTGATAATTAGTTGCATTTTGTAGTATTAGAAGACTCACAATAAATTTAAAACGAGAAAAAATGGACAAATGTGCAATGCATGTTAAGAATAATCATTTATGTGCAATAATATAGATAATTTAAAATTTAATGAATTCTATTTATCGAATTCTGAATAGGAATAGATTCGAGTTGTGACTAAAATAGATTTAATATATCTTGAAAAAAAAAATTAATTACACTAGTTTTAACGATTGTCAAAAAGGCACGAATATGACTAAATTACAAATCAAGAATTATAGTAGATTATGATAGGCGGACTATAAATGCTATATAATCACCCATAATTTGATAAAAAATCAAAATTTATGGCTATATTAGATTAATTTAGCATAAATTAGATCAAAAACTCTTTTGCATTACGTAATTTGAATTCTATACAAAATTAGTACACTTGAATTGAATTTATTCAATGTGTATGCTTACGGGTATCGCAAGAGCACCTTTTTGGCGCCATTGTCGTGGAAAAAAAATATTTAATTTGAGTTTATTTGTTTATACTGTATTTGAAATGTTCTTGTATTTTGTTTAGGTTATTATTTACACGTCTAGTCTCTCTTGTTCATTTTTTGGAAGTTTGTGTAAGATTCTAAATAAATCAAGCTCCTACTATTGGATCTTGAGATCGAAAGACCCTTTAGACAATGAAGAAGAGAATAGAGATATGCAAGAGACGTATTAGAAAATCAAGATCAAATTCAGTTACCATCAGATCTATTAGCACAACTAATTCCACCAAGAGCACTCGCCAACTATGGCAAAGTATTAATATGGGATTATGTGAATCCTATCCTAGCTCTTGTGAAATTGACTATTGTTTATCCACCTTTGGGTATGCCAACTTCCACATTCGACCAGATGTCATTAACTTGTTTTAGAATCATCAGGATATTAGGTACTCTGAAAGACCAACTAAAAACCCGCATGAACACATACATGCTTTCTTGATGCTTTACAAGGTAATCAGTTATGACGCCATGATAGATGATACTTTTAGACTGCACATATTCATTCATACTTTAAAGGAAGAAGCACGCGGATGACTGCATTTACTACATCATGGAAGCATCATTTCGTGGATGACATGGTACAAAAATTTATCTTGAAATTCTTCCAACATTTTCAAGTCCATTAGATCATAAATGAACTACATACTTTCAAGCAGAGAGACTTCGAAAGCTATCCAGTAGCACGATACGGGTTTAAGAACTACTTTAGACAATGACCAAATCTAGACATTCTTAAAAATGCCAAGGTCTATATTTTCTATTTGGACTTGCATCCTGAATACTGAAACATGGTCAACACTTCAGC